CTGCAGGGAAACGGGTCTGTGTTGTCTGGAGAGTGGTTATAGTTCTGGGAGATCTCCAGGCCCCACCTGGAGGTTGGCAACCCTGGGGAGTTTATTTGATTCTTGTCCTGTCTGTCTTACTTTGAAATAGAGGTGGTATCCCATCCAGGCGCTGGGTGAGCGTTATCTTCTTGGGACTTCCATTTCACAGGCTGAGAGCAGGAATATGTTTGACACCCCTGCTCTGGCCCCAAAGTTGAAGTCAGTCCTGCCCAGGGGCCATTTCGTAGAAAAAGAGCTAGGGGAACTCATTAGCATAACTCATTAGCATATGCCACACCCCCTGACATCACTGGAAGTGTGTCATAAGGCCACACACCCCACCCCTAACGGTCCCGGCCGCCACCGCCGGCCTTGCAGCTCCACTGCCGAGCCCCATGAGGGGCCCAGCGGTGGACCTGCAAGGCGGGCGGGAGTACAAGGAAGCCCCGCGAAGGCCCTCCCTGGCCCCAGGCAGGCAGGGGTGGGGAGAGGCAGGGAGGAAGCAACTTACCCTCCCTCTTCTCCTGCCTCCTCCTGGCTGAATGAGGGCCGGAAGTGGGGCGGCCGGAAGCAGGGGGTGTGGCTTCGTCGTGTGCCCCGCCCCCCGTACCTCACCCGGGGGAACTGCGATCCCCCCCGAAATGACCTCTGGTCCTGCCTCTTCTGCTGCTACACATCGCCAAAGGCTGTTCACTACCTGCAGCCCATGAAGTAGTTTACTCTCCGATGGCTTTCTGTGCCACTGGTTTATAAGCCGATTTCTGCAAGTCTTGCTAAAAAAAACAACAAAGACAATGTAATTGTCTTACCAGTGAGTACTTCAGAACCTGCGGGGTGTGAAATGGTAAGCTCTGAGCGGAGGGACACCTTTAAGTGTTCATGTTCGCGTCGTGCAGAGATGCCTCTGTTTGCCGTTTGGAGTTTTAATTTTTCTGATTTTTTTGCATTCTTTAAAACCTGCCTTTCTCACTGAGACTCAAGGCGGTTTACAAAGAATTTAAAAAACCAAACATTTAATAAAAGCTATTTAATTTAAAATTACAAAGACAGCTACACCAAATATCAATTCAATAGCAACATTTAGAACAGATTATGGAACTGATGTGATTGATTTATGGAAGCATCAAGATGTATATGTTTACTCATGTGCACACAATTATAGATCTCAATTGTTTATAAATATTTTTGAGGGACCCACAAATTCAAGAGCTAACCTGGTATACTTACTTCTGTTGCAAATTGCTTTATTGCTGCATGGAACGCCTCTTGCCTGGAACGTCCCCGTGGGTGGCTTTGCCACGAGCGAGTGGATGATGCGACAACACCTTCTTCTGGGGAAGGAGCTGAACATGATTCTTTGGAGAAAGACAGACTAGAACTGTCATATTAAACAAAATGCCCAAGAATAACCCTGCCTGCAGCTCTCATGAAGAATACTTTGCCGTCCCCGGAATGCAAAAGCAAGAGTGTAATATGAGATGGTCTCTGGTCAATAGGGATGTAAAGCCGTGGACCTCTGATTTGGCCTATCCCACTGTGGGAACCTCTCCGCCCAGCTGTGACCTCTGTCACCCGGCAGCGGCGAGCAGCAGGGAGGCCACAAGCCAACTTAGAAGTGGAGGAGGAAATGGTTGAGCCCTAAAGCCGGGGAGGGGAGGGCCAGGGGGAAATGAGAGCTCTGGTAGTACTGATCACTGTCATTCCATCTAGTTCAGGATTGTCTACTCTGTCTGGCAGCAGCAGCTGACTCGTGGCAATGAAAAGCCTTGACCACTGAGCCCACAACCCTTTTCTATAGCAGTGCATGTTTGTATGGGGAACATGTTAGAGCCCTGTAGCCATGGAAGTGACAGGGCCATCAGAGCTCAATGCTTAGGAGGAAGCTTTGGATAGGGTTACCAACTCTGTGTTTGGAAAAACTTGGAGATTTGAGGGTGCAGCCTGGGAGTGTGGGGTTTATGGGGGGGGGGAGCAACCTCAGTAAGATAAAATGCCATAAGGTCTACCTTCCCAAGCAGCTCTTTTCTCCAGAAGTGAAATAAATGTTTAAAGTAAATAAATAATAAGCGATCCATGTAATCTGGAGATCAGCTGTAATTCTGGGAGGTCTCCAGCGGCCACCTGGAGGCTGGCAACCCTAGCTTTGGAGGGCAGCCCCATCCCTGTGGTTCCAATCCCTGCCCACCCAGGCTTTAGAAGGAAGGTTTCACTTGAACACCATTTTATATCCATGTAGAATGGCCAAAAACTGAAAACGTTTGTCATTACTTGTTTTGCTGTTCTGTTTATATGCAAGAGTCACTGAAGTGTAAGAACATAAGAACACCAGAAGGGCGCTGCTGGATCAGACCGATGGTCCATCTAGTCCAACATCCTGTCTCACACAGTGGCCAACCAGTTCCTCTGGAGGGCCAACAACAGGGCACAGAGGCAGAGGTCTTCCCCTGGTGTTGCCTCCTGGCTCTGGGATTCAGAGGCTTAGTGCCTCTGAATGTGGAGGTTCCCCTCAGTCACCATGGCTAGTAGCCATCCTGCATGAATCTATCTAATCCCCTTTTAAAGCTGTGGCCATCATTACACCTTCTGACAGCGAATTCCACAATTTAATCACTCTCTGCGTAAAGTAGTATTTCCTTTTGTCCGCCCTGAACCTACTGCCCATCAGCTTCATTGGATGCCCCCTGAGTTCTAAGATTTTGGGAGAGAGAGAAAATTTTCTCTTTGTCAACTCTCTCTACCCCATGCATAATTTTATAAACCTCTACCATGTACCCCCTTAGTCTTCTCTTTTCAGAATTTAAAAATCCCAGATTCTTCTGCCTTTCCTCATAGGGAAGCTGCTCCAGCCCCCTAATCATCTTGGTTGCTCTCCTCTGTACTGTTCCCAGCTCTGCAATGTCCTTTTTGAGATAACGGTGACCAATACTGTACACAGTATTCCAGAGGAGGCTGCATCATAGAACTATACAGGGGCAGAGGTCATTTCGGGGGGGATCGCGGGGGATTGCAGTTCCCCCGGGTGAGGTACGGGGGGCGGGGCACATGATGAAGGCCCGCCCCCTGCTTCCGGCCACCCCACTTCCGGCCCTCATTCAGCCAGGAGGAGGCAGGAGAAGAGGGAGGGTAAGTTGCTTCCTCCCTG